TGGATGAATTCAACAAGATTACAACAGAGTTGGAATCCATTGATGTGAAGATTGAAGAGGAGGACAAGGCGCTGCTTTTGTTGGCTTCATTGCCTTCATCTTTTGACAACATCGTGACCACGCTTTTGTTTGGAAAAGAGACCTTAAAATTTGATGAAGTAGTTGCTGCGTTGTTGATGAACGAGACTCGGCGGGGTGGCAACGGGGTATCAAATGACGGTCAAGCTTTGGTAGCAAAAGGAGCTGGTCGGGAACGAGGACGGTCTAAAGAGAGGGGCGGCGCGTCCCAACGCTTCAAATCGAGTAGTAAAAGCTTTCGGTGTTACTACTGCGATGAAGAGGGTCATTTCAAAAGGGATTGTCCAAAGAGGAGGAATGAAAAGAAGGACGGGAAAACACCCGTGACTGCGGTTGCAGAAAGTTCGAACCAAGAAAGTGAAGAAGACTTATTTTTGGCAACCGCAAAGAGCCTAGGTAAATAACATTGGATATTAGATTCGGGTTGTTCGTTTCACATGTGTTCAGTTAAGGAAAAGTTTGATACCTATCAAACTTGTGATGGGGGTGCTGTGAAGATGGCAAATGGTGCACGGAGCAAAATTGCAGGGGTCGGAACAGTGCAAGTTCGCATGTTTGATGGCGTGGTGAGAACATTATCTGGAGTGAAACATGTACCGGGTCTAAAAGGAAATTTGATTTCATTGGGGGCTTTAGACTCAGAAGGCTACCGAATTTTTGCTCAAGGTGGAGTGTTAAAAATTTCTAGGGGAGCAATGGTGGTAGCAAAAGGAGTTTTGTCAAAGGGCTTGTATAAACTTGTGGGAAAAGATTTGACACAGAAGTTGTCAGAAAGAAAAATTACAAGTGCAACGAGCGGAGCTTTTGCATGGAAGAAGCAGGTGACGTTTAAAGTTTCTCCCGCTGGTGGAAGCTGTGACCTCGCCGGAACGAGCTAGGTGGAGCTGGACCAAGTTTTATTATTTAATCAAGGTGGAGTTTGTTGATGTATTTTGATTAAATAATTGAAACAAAATAAAAAGAAAAAAAAAGAGATGTAACTTGGTGGAAACAACCAAGAAGTGCAGGAGAGCCTTTAGGAGTTTTGTCTTCTTCTCTTGGAGGGTGTGAGCTAGATTATTCTCCATTATTGTGTATTTGGCTATTTAAAAGCCATCCAACAATACGTAGGGAAGAAAAAAAAGAAAAAGAGGAAGGTTAAGAGAGAGGTCTACACAAGATATCACCAACATTGTGTGAGTGAGTGTAAGGAGTAACTGGTTTTAGTTACTCGAAAAAATACATCCGGGTGTAGGGTGTGAAAAGTCTGTTTATAAATGTCTGGTATTTAGCACTTGTAAACAGGGAGAGTTTTTTGTATATTGTCCTGAAATAGTGGAAATATAATTTTTTTCTCTCATATATTCTTCTTGTGTAGTGTGTTTATTTATTTTTCACGTTCTTGATATTTTAATAGTCTTACGCGCTTAAAATCCCAACACGTCGACATCTGTATTCGTTTATATGGAGAATATCTGCATCCGTTAAAAGCGGTTATCATCTGTATTCGACTAAGGATATCTAATTGCTAAGCGGATACGGATTTAGTAATCATACATCCGATCCGTTTGGGACAACTTTTAGTTATGATCAATGATGATGGATAACCTAGACTGGGGGTATCCGGTCCAGCAATTAACAGGTCCAGCATGAAAGTGGAAAATGAATCACACTCGACTTAGGAAGTAAACCCTGCAAGAGCTTTCGGATCGAAGGGACGCCTCATCATTATAGTCATACTCAGCAGCATATCTATGATCGGTCTCTGCCCGATAGCATGGAATTTGCCTCAGCAGTCTGCCTGGGCAAGGCGGTGCCAGCATAAGCGAAACTCATACTTGGCCTGTGACGGACTCATACTCTGCGCCCGTCGCAACGAGCACCTTGGGATTCCTACTCCAAGAGGCCACTGAAGAACATCTTATCTTGCTATTTTTTCCTATGTTTTTTACTCATAAATTAATCCTTTCCCCTTCTCTCATATATCCAAACAACTGAATTTATATTAATTTTTGTGTTTTCAAATCTAACTTTTCTTTATCTCTATGTTCTCACAATCCAAATGCGGGGTCAAATTCAAAAAGCATCCCGCATTACTCCGCATTATGATAAAAAAGAATTTAGCAAAGTGTGATTTACTTTTCAATAGGAAATTACGAAAGTAACTAATCTAAAATTCCACAAATTTTTCTTCAAAAAAAAAAAAACAAGTTTTCCGCTGACTTTTTTACTAATTAGTCCAGAGTATGAAAATGAACTTTGGCGATTCCTTCGTGAATTACCCTCCGGTTAAAAACAAAAATGTCAACAAAATTGTCGTATAGTCGTCCACTAGTCTAAAATTTCAGCATAACCTCTTTTCAGCATAATCATCTTAAATAGGACTAAAACATAGAAAAAAGTACCAAAATATGACTTTAATGTTTTTTTCCCGAAATAGGACTTTGCACCGTGGTATTGTGACTTTGCATTGTGGTAATGTGGCAGTGTACATGTGCAAATTACTATACTTTTTTGGTAATGTATATGACCATGTTTGGTAATGTAAGTCCTATTTTGGGAATAAAAACATGAAAGTCCTATTTTGGTATATTTTCAATGTTTTAGTCCTAGTTTGTTCTTTCTCCCTATTAACTACTTCGTATTAAATACTCTCTTCGTTCTGAAATGTTCTTCTTATTTACTCTCTCCGTCCCGGAGTATTCGTTCAGTTTTGACTTTTGGAACTGTTCATCTAAGCACTTTACAACCTCATTTTGGAGCATTATTTATAACTAGTACATGGTATTAACTACTTCGTATTAAATACTCTCTTTGTTCTGAAATGTTCTTCTCATTTACTCCTTCCGTCCCGGAGTATTCGTCCAGTTTTGATTTTTGGAACTGTTCATCTAAGCACTTTGACTCATCAAATTCTCTCAATGTGTAAGCCTAAATATAGTCATGCGTGATCTTGTTTGATTTGTCTTAACATATAGATTATTATTTTTTTGACAAAAACATTTAAATTATTAATATATAATTTCTATAATTTTTTAATATACAAATTACAAGATAAAATGGTCTAAAGAAGTGTATTGGATGGTGTGTAAAAACGAAAGTGGAAAAATATTCTGGGACGGAGATAGTAAATTTTAACGGTTTTTAATATTTCGCTTTGGCCATTCACATTTATATTTATACATAGATATATTTTATAAAAATTTGATATTTGAAAACTACGTTTAAATAAGAATATATTGATATTATATGTACATCATAATAGAATATATTTTTTCTACATATCAGAATCAAAGTTTAAAACTTTGACCAAAAGCATTTCCGGACAGCAACAGTAATTTTGTAGTGTTACCTATTGCTATATATGAAGGTACTACCTGAGACATGAGGAGTGGCTTGACCACTCTCACTCACGCCCCTTTACAATTACACATGAAGCCTGATAGGTGCGTTGCCCCTCTTCAAGCTAAGTTACCACCATCACTGCCGTGAATCGTGATGGCTTCTCTCTCCCACTCCCCCATTAATAATAATAATAATAATAATAATAATAATAATAATAATAATATTATTATTATTATTATTATTATTATTATTATTATTGTCTCTCCCACTCCCCCATTATTATTATTATTATTATTATTATTATTATTATTATTATTATTTGAATACTATTGACTCTAAATATTTCAATCAATTAAAATTCAACACATATTCATATCTCATCACACTCTTTCACACTTACAACAATACATATTTAATATTTTTATCACTTCACACCATACTTATTTACACACCATCAAGTCCTGTTAAGCTCCCACCATATGACATAGCCTAAGAGTGTAGGTGAATAAGTTGGATCACTAATAAATTTTATTGCCACAACTAGTTAATTTAGGTCAAGTTTGGAAATTTTATTTTCAATTAAGTTTGTATAATTTTATATTCAAACAGATTAAATTTAAAAATCTTACTCCCTCTATCTCTTTTTTTTCTCACTTTTATTTTTGGACTGTTCAAAAATTTCTTTCTCGTTTCCTATTTTAGTACCAAAATTTTAATAAATGTTCTATCATATCCTCATTTTTTATCTACACTATTTTCTTTGTTTAATCACATCAATATCACAACATGAAAGTTTTTATAATTTTAATTTTTCTAATTTTCGTATCAAGTTAAAATGGAAAGAACTTTTAGACGGAGAGAGTATAATTAACAAATCAAAGTCACTGTATAATTTTTTCAAAACTTTGAAGCTATTGTAAAAGGTCAAGGTTACTATTTGGAGAACGTTAAATTTTGACTCTTGCCAATTAAGTGAGTGTTTCTATGTGCTGGTAGTTATTCACTTATTGCTTAGAAGCAATTTTTAACTTATTAACTGTTTATAAGTTAAAAAATATTTCATGCAAATAAAGTGACTTAAATGATATATAAGTTATTTGAAAATGTTCATAATGAGAAGAAATGAAAAAAATAACTTAAAAATAAGTAGATAAGACCAATTAATTTTTTCTAATTTATAATCAACTTATAAGCAAGTAAAAACATGTTATCTAGTGACTTTTAAGTTAAAAACTACTCCTTAATTAGTAATCAATTTTGACCATTAAAAACCGCCAATCTCTTCACCATCCAAACTTAATTTGCTTCTACTCTGTCTCTCGCTTGAAGCTAGGAGCTATGGCTACTCAACCGATCATCAGAATCGCCGGCCTCTGCGGCTCTCTGCGGAAAGGCTCCTTCAACCGCGGCCTCCACCGCGCAGGTACCGAACCCTTCTTCCCAATTCTTCGTCTTCGCGTTCATCACTAGATCCAGATTAGTATACAACAGTCTCTCGCTCTCTCCGGGAAGAGCATTTTGTTTTCCACAATCGGTTCAATTTCGATTTTCAGTTTACCAGAATTGAGGTCGGATTGTTTAGATTCGGATTCTGATTTGGTTAATTTTAAGTGTGGTTGTAGCTATGGAGATAAGCGAGGAATGGCTGAAGGGGATGGAGATAGAATACCTGGATATATCGGCGTTGCCGTTCCTGAACACCGATCTCGAGGTCGACGGAACCTACCCGCCGGCGGTGGAGGAGTTCCGCCGGAAAATCCTTCAAGCTGATGCCATCATTTTTGCTTCCCCCGAATACAATTACTCCGTCACTGGTAATATACACTCACTTTGACGTTATTTTAACCCATGTCATTTTTCAAAATTATTTACGAGTGCCACTTTATTAAATTGGCATGATCCACTTTTAACCACTCAATTCAACACTTTGTTTAGTTCACTCTGTTCACTGAAATTCCAACAATCAGAGCTAAGTTCAGTTCTAGTTTGATTCATCCTGATATTTATAAAGAGATTGAAATGTTAGACTTACGCATTTATCTTAGTAGCTAGATCAAGCTATTACCACTTGAGGGGGTCGGGGGGGGGGGGGGGGGGTTCCATCCCACGGCAGAAAAATCAATTAAATGTTATTCCTATATAAAGAAAGGTGAAACACTACTTATTAGATTAAGTTTTTAGTTCAAAAGTAGATTCAGACTTTATATGAATAAGTGATTAAATTTCATCTAACAATTTGTTCAGTTCTTTTGGCCCACCGAGTTCTGAAATTATCACTAATTAAATCATGATTTGATATGTTTCTTAATAACTTTCTTTTAAATATTCAAAACACATCTCACTTTTTTTTTTGAATTTTAAAACTCATATTATATCGTATCTATGAATCTTAACAAAAGCACCCTAATTTTATGACATTTGTTAAATATATCAATTATTTAATATATTTAATATTATATATTATAATTATGGTTGTTACCTATTATGGTTAGAGTTATTATTATATAATATTACCTTATATAATTAGTCATTAATGTAGAGGATTCTAGAATATATTCCTCCACCTATAAATACATACTTTGTATTCCTCTTCTATTTATTCAAGAAATAAAGCATTATTTGTTATTTTACATGGTATCAGAGCCACCGTTCTTGGTGACCTAAATTTCTCCACTTTCGCTTCTGGCGGGCGGCACCGCCATTAACCACCGCCCGCCGGATCACTGTTTTCCTCTGATCCAAATTCTTCCATTATACAAAAAAAATCTCTATTATAGTCACCGGCATCTCTAACGTCATCCTCTTCTCCTAATCGCCGCAGCTCTGACCGGCGTCCCCTACTCCACCAAACTACCGGCCTCTCCTGGCGCCAAGATCGCACCTGTTCACTCGAGAGTAACATGAGTCAGAAGTCATTCTCCTCCAATCACCTTTCAATCCCTATTTTTTTCGATCTCTCACAACTCATATCATCACCTCAACCTGCTTCGTGGGTGGATCTTCGGTCAACATGCATCTCCGGCAGTACCTCATTCCTTGTTTTTCTTCTCTAACCCAGTCGCGCACGACTCCAGTGCACGTCAACCTTCTCCCTCTTTCGACGTCAGCAGCACGAGTCTGTTCGCAGCGGCTTTTCTCCTCTCCTCATCAGCGCCTTCACATCTCTTTCCTGGCAATCTTTCTTCTTCTCTTCTAGGCCGGATGCATTCAGTCTACTCTAGCCGAAGATATGCCTCTAGCTTCTGATTACAATTTTGGTCACGATTCAAGTATAGTTGGCGTTCAATCTTCACCGTTCAGGACGTTGGGAGCATGTTAAATATATCAATTATTTAATATATTTAATATTATATATTATAATTATGGTTGTTACCTATTATGGTTAGAGTTATTATTATATAATATTATCTTATATAATTAGTCATTAATGTGGAGGATTCTAGAATATATTCTTCCACCTATAAATACATATTTTGTATTCCTCTTCTATTTATTCAAGAAATAAAGCATTATTTGTTATTTTACAACATTGTTGAAACTTGAAACATAACTACGTACTCCTATAATTCAACTCTATATTTTGACAAAACAGATCGTGACAAAAATTGGGCAAAATAGCTTTAATTAAAATGTGTTTAATTGTGGATAGAAGTGATGTGTAGGGTTATAACTTGTGTTTTCAAACACATCGCCGTCATGTTTACGTAAGCATCCTTTCACTCGGTTTGTTTTCCAATTAGAATTCGTGTACTCCTCGGCATTACTATGATTTGACTTTTTTTTATATTGAATTGTGGCATTTTTTTATGACAAGTTAAATATAGCGTAAAATAATTTAACATTATAAGATTTGATATTTCAAATATATACTTTAAAATAAATTTAATTTACTAAATTTGTATTATAACTAAATATTATTTTTTCTATAATTTACGGTTAAAAGATATTACAATTTCACAGAAAAAGTCAATATGTGGCAATCTTTTAGAGATGAAAGGAGTATGACTTTAAGGCTGGTCGAGGATGGAATTCATGTACTAGTGAGTTAAACATTTCTTAATTTTTTAAAAAATAAATAATTGGAGTGATAAAATTTATATGGACTTGGATATTAGGTCGAATGGTCGATATTAAAATTTGAAGGACAATATGAGATAATAATATTCAGATTAATGTCAAATGCAAAATTAGTGTATGAGATAAGGGTCATAAGGCCCCATGTGCTGTCACCATAATGATGCTGATAAAGAAAGCTTTGGATCAATTGAGTTTGGCTTCAAAGTCCAATTTATCCTTCCATCTTTTTTAACCATCTGAAAAAGTCACTAGAAAATGTCTGGTTTTATTATTCTCTCCGTTCTTGAGTATTTATTCATTTTTAACTCTTTCAATCTAAATTAATAAATTTTTGATCTCAAATTAAATAAACATGTTGTTAGATATTGATACAAAAATAGTTCTATTCGATTTACTTTATCAAATATTTTCAAAATATTATTTTATCTAATTAATATATATACAATACATATTTTATTTAATTATAAGTAAAAAGTTGAAAATAGTTCAGACGAACAGAACGCAGCCATAGTATTACATTCATTTTTTAAGATGCATTATAGTTGTAGACTTGAAGAGTTGTAGTCTAGGGAGTCCACCATCTCCATTTGACATTAAAATGGCATTAGCAGACTGGCACTCTCTTAGTAAAATTAATAGTTCTTACCTCTTAATTCCCTTCGTAGAAAAAACTCCACCCCCCACACTGCATTCCATCCCAACCGCCCAAATCAACGATCTCGAAGGTAAGGAGGTTAGAGAGATAAGTATCATCAATTTTATCAATGGAACACCGATCATATCATTTTAATGTCAAAATTATAAATGTCAAAAGTAATACTTGTTAATTCATTGCCAACCAATCAGGCTTTTCTTCTCCACAATGAAGGGCTTAGAGTCAAGTAGTCCATTAAGCTATATATACTACGCACTATTGGGGGCATCTTTCAGCAATATCCATCCAAGTTGTCCACTTTCAAACTGTCCAATTTGCTTTTGTCTTTTACCCCTAAAATTGCTCGAATGGGAAAATCCCAATCACTTCTGCTTACAAACAACACTCTTTTAGTTACCCACTCCCTCCATCCCGTAAAAACGATCTCGTTTTAACTTTCACTGAACTTAAAAAAAGTGTTGAAAAGTAAAAAATCTTTCCGAAAAAATGATCTCATAATTTGGCAATGCAAGGCCAAATTATGTCACTAATATTGAGAATTAATCTTTTGGGTGTGTGTGTGTGTAGGACCATTGAAGAATGCAATTGATTGGGCATCTCGTCCCCCGAATGTTTGGGGTGGTAAAACGGCAGCAATCATAAGTGCGGGCGGGGGATCTGGCGGGGTGCGAGCACAATACCATCTCCGCCAGATCGGGGTGTTCGTCGACCTTCATTTCATTAACAAGCCTGAAGTTTTCATCCATGCTTTCCAGCCCCCTCCCAAGTTTGACACTAGCAATGGGGACTTGGTTGATGCTGAAACCAAGGACAAAATCAAGGCTCTTCTTCTGTCTTTGCAAGCATTTACACTGAGGATGAAAGGTATCCCACAGTGAGTGATGTTAGTAGGGGCTTGGGTTCCTAGCTACCGAACCGTATACGAATTGTTTTTCATCACTTCGATGGATTTATTGAAATGAATCAACATTTGATCTCTTTGGAACAATCTCTCTGCTTCCAAGTAGAGCAATATGTGCGTATACGCACTCTCCCAAAACCCTACTTTCTTATGGGATTCTACTCAGTTTGTTGTTATTGTTGTTGTTATTAGTATGCCAGAATACATTTTTTCTTGGCTACAGATGTGGGTACTTTTCTCCCAAAACCTTGAATAATTGGGTCAAGTAATAAGTAGATACATGACTATTTTAAAAAATTTGAAAAAATATAATTTCCCAATCAGATCAGGAAACAAAAAAAGAATGCAGTAAGTATACTTTTAGCTCCAAAGCTATTCTGCTGACTAAAATAAACTGAGATGCATGTAATCTCTGTCCATATCTACACAATGCTAGAGATGATGTCAAGGAAGGTGTCCTCCGGGCAAGGAATTGTAAGTCCACCCATCGGATGATCAAACCCGAATTCTTCTTCGGATTGACTTAGCAAGTTTTGGAATGAATGGTCCCTCAAGTACGAAATCGGAATGACAAATCTCTTCTTTTCGCCCTCGCCGACATAGACTGCAAAGTGTCCCTTAGGAACCTCACTTTCTCTGTTTGTTCTTGAAGAAGACCTTCTTAGGCCTTGTTTACCACGGAGAATGTGCCCCATACTAATAGCCATGTTCAGATTCTGGGTTGTGGAGGACGAAATTCAGCTTAAGTTGAAGGAGGCAGAAAAAAGATGTCTATGGAGGATGATGTAGTTGAATGTGGTGAATAAAATCTGAGGAAATGTGTGTTTATATATATCTTGTAGGAGGTGGAATAAGTGGCTAAGAGAGATTAGGATGGGAGGAAAGTCTGGGTAGGCATGATAGGACACTTCTGCACATGGATTTGTCTTTGAAAGATCATCCACAAGTTCACCTAACATAATGAAAGAGCTGTAACTGAACACACCATTCCCTACATGCTTTCAATGAAAGTGAACAGACAGGGAAAGCCCAACATACAGCAAGATGCCAATGTTATTCACCTGGAAAGTATCTTCAACCAGATTGTTTGGAGAGGAAGAAAAAAAAACCATGTGAATGTCAATCCTCATTAGTGTAGAACATGGTTTGTTCTTCTAAGAATGGAGCACATGAAAGGCCCTCATACAACTGGAGGGGAACATGGCTTTGCCTTGTCTGGCTTACTCAATAACTTCAAGCCTGGCATTAACACTTTAAACAGAAACACTTTATATGTTTCATAACCACAGTTAGCATATGAATATGTTTCAAAAAGAAAGATAATATGTAAAATAGTTTCTATGTCCAACAATAACCTTAATAATCTTAAAATCTGTTCTGTTCCAAAGGCCATGTTCTTACCCCCACCCAGACTCGGATCTGGTTCACTATGGTCAATCTGGTAAAGCTTAACAATAGTTTTAACAATTAAGATGTTCTTAAGCCAACAATGTTTTCTCCTTAAACTATATCTTGATGTAAAATATGTACTCGTACATGAATTGCATATGAGTATATACTCCCTCCGTATGAATTTAGTTCACTTTCTAAAAACTCTTATTTTTAAGAAATGATTTTCAAATGTCAAATAAGTCTTTTAAATGTGTTTGTCATTAATTCATGTACACAATGCTCGGACTTCCTTAGCTAATGCTTGAAGGATTCAGATAAGTAGTAAATACATGACTATTGATACAATTAGAGTGGTTGTGATCAGATGAACCATTATGAACAGGGAAAGTTGCATAGACTATTTGCTACTGCACTATAGAAAGAAGCACAAACAGTTTAAGGAATTATTTTCATTTGTTCCATCATACCCCAAAGCCAAAAAAATTGAATCTTTGGCTTCATCAACGATGATGGAACATGGATAAGCTAAACAGTAGTTCTAAAAATTAAAATGTTCTTAAGAGTTAAGACATCACTATTTTCTCTTTAAACTATATCATAATGTAAAATATGTGTTTAGTTTACACATGTATTCATTTAAGTATATACTCCCTCCGTATGGATTTAGTTGTCCACGTTCTAAAATATCTCATTTTTAAGAAATGAGGTTAAAATATCAAACAAGTCTTTCAAATGTGTTTGTCACTCATTCATGTGACACACGCTTATACCCCATCTCTAGGATAATTTACACAATTCATCATAATTTCTTCATTGAACATGGAAAGTGGACAACTAATTCCAAGCGGAGGGACTCTTCTCAAGACAATAAATCTTTAGTGTGAACATTTCTTCAATCTCTTTCAAGAAAGGAAGATCTATAAGAAACACAGTACATGCTTTATAAATTTTGCCATGTCTCAATGTTTTAGCTATGAATGACAAAATTCTGTTTTACTACTAAATCCTACTTTCAATAAATAGACTTGATTAGTCGGACTTCCTTAGCTAAACCTTGAAGGATTCAGATAAGTAGTAAATCAATACATGGCTATTGATAAAAAAATGATGAATATTGTTTCCCAATAAGATCAGGGAAAAAAAGAACATTGTACAAGTATACCTCCAGGTAAAAAAAGTGTTTAGAATGACTATAATAAACTAAGCTGCCTAAAGTCTCTATACTAAATTGTTCAGGATGACTATGAGTATCTACTGAATACTAGAGATGATGTCAAGGAAAGTGTCCTCAGGACAAAGAATTGTAAGTCCACCCATCGGATGATCAAACCCGAATTCTTCTTCGGATTGATTTAGCAAGTTTTGGAATGAATGGTCCTTCAAGTATGAAATCGGAATGACAAATCTCTTCTTTTCGCCCTCGCCAACATAAACAGCAAAGTGTCCCTTAGGAACCTCACTTTCTCTGTTTGTTCTTGAAGAAGACCTTCTTAGGCCTTGTTTACCACGGAGAATACGCCCCATACTAATAGCCATGTTCAGATTCAAGGTTGTGGATGATGCAGTGTAAGTAGAAGAAGACAGAAAAAAAAGGTGTTTGTGGAGGATGTAGTTGAGTGTGGTGAATAAAACCTGAAGAAATGTGTGTTTATATACGGAGTAGATCTTTTCAGAGGTGGAATAAGTGGCTAAGAGAGTTAAGGATGGGATTAAAGTCTAGGAAGCATAACAGGACACTTCTGCACATGGATTTGTCTTTGAAAGACCATCCACTAGTTCACCTAACATAATGAAAGAGCTGTAACTGAACACACCATTCCCTACATACAGATGTCAATGTTATTCCCCTATAAAAAATATCTTAAATCAGATTGTTTGGAGAGAAGAAAGAAAAACCATGTGAATGTCAATCCTCATTTGTGTAGAACATGGTTTTTTCTTCTATGAATGGAGCTCATGAAAGCCCCCCCCCC